CTCTCTCTCTCTCTCTCTCTCTCTCTCTCTCTCTCTCTCTCTCTCTCTCTCTCTCTCTCTCACACACACACACACACACACACACACACACAGTTATCTCCTTGACCCACCCGATAATCCTGGGTAAATCTGTTCCTAGTGCACCATGAGCATATGAGACAACAATACTGTGAGCATGCTTCCAGTTTGTTTTCATGCAAATGGCATTACCAAGAGCTACCTGGTCAGTGAACTGTGAGGTGAGGATACACACACCAGGGAAGGTCATACGCATTGCCAACGCCATGCAACAGCAGCACAGCATCATCCGCAAACCCACGCAACAACAGTCAGTCACACACTTGCCTTATCGCCATCCATAAACTTCTGTCGAACCATCACACACCTGCCACTTTCAGAAGACGCATCCGCTTGTACACTTGTTCAAACGATTCACTAGATTTCATAAACTCATGCCCTCTATTTTAGTCACAGCACGGGTAGTCATCATCGTACACTTTTATCGGACAGTAATCACAGGATATTAAAAAAAGCAGCATCGCAAACATACCTCTGAATCCCTCTGAAATGCACGAACTGGCGACCCGGCCCGCTTTCAGAACTTCTGCCCTTGCTGCCATCAAACCATAGCTAAGGTAGCTGCCAGAGGACAAGTCAGAGCATAACAAAACAACCGCCTGTCAGGGTCCCTTTACGCCATAATAGGAAAGACTTTTTTTTTTTTTTGGGGGGCGGGGGGGGGGGGGGCAGGGTGGGGATGTGGGGAAGGGACAGGGGGGGTTGTGCTTTGACCTCCATGTGCATTGGATAAAGCTTCCGTTAGGGACATTGACGCAATAGGAAATGCACATGGGATCACACCATACATGCAAGCGCACGTTGTGGACTGATTCCCGGACCGTTGGCGCTCAAGCGCACACCCCAACGGAGCGGCGCACGACCTGCGCAGCACACAAAAGCCCAGGGCAAAACTTTAAAAAAAAAAAAAAAAAACGCCCGGGTGTCGACTCACCCCCAGGCCGGCCCCCCAGCAAAAATTGTTTTGGTGCCCAAAATGTTTTTTTGCGGGCCGCACTAAACGATTTCGAATTTCATATTGGGTGGGGGAGACCGTTTCCTAGTTTTTGCAGGTCGATACTGACAGGGCTTCGGCGGGCCGTTTCCTTGTTGTTGTTGCAGCCACCTCCAGTCCACTACGGAAGCAGCGTCGTCAGTCCCCCACTACGAGCAGCGTCAACCTCCCCCTGCATTTGCATCATCACCAAGGATGACCGCGTGCAAGCATGGATCCCACCGAGCATTGGAGCTTGGGAGTCTTGGGAGCATAGAACCATAAAAGCAAACGATGCTTGCCAAATGGACAAAAAAAAATAAATCGATTAACGTTTGACCAGCCCGGGCACATACCAAAAGAAGTGACATTTCGGCCACTCCTTTTTTCCTTCTGTTGCAATAGCTGATGTGGCACATGTTTTCCTCGTTCTCGTCTCGGTACAGCACAGTTCACTGCACTGCCCGTCAACATATTTGATGCGAAAACTTCATCAGGGGAGAGAGAGAGAGAGAGAGAGAGAGAGAGAGAGAGAGAGAGAGAGAGGCCGAGGGGCGGACCGAGGATGAAAGGACAGCAGCCACCACTCAGTAATTCAACATTTGGCCAGTCCGGGCACGTAACGAGAGACGTGACATTTCCGTCCGGCTCTCTTTTTCTGCTGTTTCACAGCCGACCTGCGCATGTTTTCGTTGCTCTGATCTACGTACAGCACACAATAAAATGCAGAACCAGAGCTTCTGTCTCTCTGTCTGTCTGCCAATATATTTGATGTGAGAACTTAGTCAGGGAGACAGGCCAGGGGGGGAAGGGTTGCATTTACAAACAAGAAAGACAGCATCCACCACTCAGGTGAATGGACCTCAGGTGACTCTGCTCACAAGGAAAGGGCTGCAAAACATCCAGGTTAGCAGGTCCTGCGTGGTTCGAGCAAGCATGAATCCACCCATCCAGTCAGAAGAAGCATGCAGAGCAGTATTGCACCCAACCAACCACCAAGGCACCGAGGCGATGGATCGCACTGACTGATAGGAGTCCATGGATCCCTGGTTCACCAATCACAACAGCAAAGTCATTTCCAGATAATCAAAGGTTTGGGCTCTGGGCATGGCACCGCTGGCAAGGGCCCCAAATGCCCAGGCACAATATTTTCAGCGATGACAATGGTGACGCTTCATCGGTGATAGTGATGGCGATGATGATGATTCGCTCATGACGATGATGAGGATGATGAAGCTTTTTATTGATTAGGCCAACGACGATGATACTTCACTGCTGATGATGCCGGTAATGAACATTGATTGATGAATTAAGTTCAATTAAAAAAAGTTAAAAAAACAGAATTCCAACCACGCAAACTGCCCATGAACACTCCCAACTTGGCCACAACCTCTGGACAAGAAGCACCAACCATCACCCACCAAACTGGATAACTCCATGGGAACTTCCGTTTCTTTTTTCCGTTTTTGCTTCCTTCTTTCACCTTTTCCTCTTCCTCAGTCCAGTCCCCTGTAGCCCACCTTTAAAATCAACATCTTTAGTAGATTCTTTACAAAGCACGGTGCCCAGTGAAGTACCATCTTAACCCGAAAACAACGTACGTACCTTGTATACGAATACAACATACCAGGTACGTTGTATTCGAATACAACGTACGTACGTTGTACAACGAATATTGGGGTACCAACTTTTCCAGGGCAAAGATACGAAAAATTTTAAAAATTAGTAAAAGAAAAAATATGAAAAATAAGAAAAATGAAAGAGCATGGTATCTGGCGTGTCGGTATCAGATTTTGTTGGTTCTTCTCTCTCATGTTGATTCTATTGAATTTGAAGATGATTCTTTCTAAGAGAATCTGTATAACGGATCTATTTTTCTTATTCACTATCTTATCTATATTGTGAATTTTACATTAGCCATAGATTCATTTTTTCAGGCTTCAAATTCTCTTGTTGCTGTCTGTACGGGCGAGGTCTGTCTGTCGAGGGAGGTCCCCGTTGAACATTGTCGGGGCCAGACTTTGCAAGGAGGACTGGATTTCCGGCCTACGAATACAAACTTAAAACAGACAGTATTTGGCGCAACACTCAGTTCACATTGTACGTTGTATTCGAGGGTACGTTGTATTCGAAAAACACGGCGCGATTTCTCAGAGGCCATTTTTCAGACGTAAGTTGAATACAGCGTACGTACGTTGTTTTCGGGTTAAGACGGTAGTCAATTGCAAACACTGCTCTTCTACCAGATTCAGTTTCCATTAATTTCCCCTGTAGCATAATTAACTTGCCACATTGCTTATCCATCCGCCAAAATTTTACTGCTACAGAGAGGATTAGCATGACCACTGCACAAGGATGACACGTTAAAAAAGAAAAGAAAAGAAAAAAAAAGAAAAAAAACTTGACGCAGTGTCAGTCTGACATGGATGGGGTGAATCACGATGCATGGATCGGGATGAGTGGGTAGGGTGCATGAACAGGGGATAAAATTATGTGCCAAAAAGGGGTGCATGAACAGGGGATAAATTATGTGCCAAAAAGGGGTGCATGAACAGGGGATAAATTATGTGCCAAAAAAGGTGCCCACAGCAAAATATGGTGAAGGCTTGGGTTATGCCCATTTTCCCCTTTCATGGTGAGAGGAGAGAAGATAAAAAAAGAGCACCTTACCTGTGAACATACACATGATAAGCATGTCCCCTCAGATTCAAGCTGCGAATGAACCCCTCAGGTGCTTTAGCAGCCACCTCATCCGACACGGCATAGGTCATCTGAACAGACCCGCCCCCCAGATCAACAACGCCGGCCGTCTCGTCGTAACTTTTGCCGAGATTCCCAAGAAGAGAATTGACAGTGACCTGCAGCATCATCACACCAACGGTCGTACTTTAGAATCTCACGTTAGCACCCACCCCTCGAGAGAGAGATTTCTGCCAGCGGCATCTCTCCAACCTTTAAAACCCAGGTAGGCCCAATCGTTAAACCTTTAAAACCCAGGTAGGCCCAGTCATTAATCCAGTTGAATGAATTAAACCCACCCAACCACAATTACACCCAGTTATACCCAGGAGGTGAGAGAGTCCACTAGCACGTCATTCGCAAATCTACCGCTGTCAAAAACCCAGTTCTCATTCACACCCTCTACCATCCGATCTGACTTGCAGAGCAGCACAGCGTCAAGACCAAGGCCAAATGCAGCTTTAGGGATTAAAAGCTAAACCTATATCTAACACAGCTCCACGAATGTAACTGCCGGCATCCAAATAAAAGACCAAGTGATCTTTTTGAACATTTTGGCATTTTCTGCTGTTTGCACATTGGGGATGAAATTTAGGTCCGTTGCATCAACTACACCACTATTCCACTGCCACCCACCCCATCACATCTTATGCCCAACGTGAGAACCAGGCAAGTGTATGGGCCTGGGCGAGCAAGAGAAGCTAGGACGCGGCCTCTCCTCTGGGCTATCGGATCATATCTCAGTCTGATCCGATGGCCGAGGAGATGTGGTAGGTGGATTAGCCATCAGCCCAGTACCACAATGATAAAGTGTCTCCTCTATGGCTCTCTCAACAACAAGAAAAAGAGATGGAGGGATGAGAAGAAGCATGGAAGCCTCCTCTCTCTCTCTCTCTCTCTCTCTCTCTCTCTCTCTCTCTCTCTCTCTCTCTCTCTCTCTC